AAGGGGGAAGCAAGGAGAAGAAGGGGGAGGGGAAGCTCAGGGGTGGAGGTCTCGCTGGACCAACTTGATTTTCATGCAAACCTGCTCCTGGGTTTGCATGTGGCCTTTGGTGGCCAGGCTGGCAGCTATCCTGCCATAGACGGTCTCATTCCTCCGTCTAGTGTGGAGATTATGGACATGGGGGACATCCTCCCCAAACCTGAATAAGGTCCATGATCTCCACTCTGGATCAGGAAGGCGTCCATCTTCTCCGGGCCCTGGCAGGCTCTTGGGAGCTGGCAGACTGCTTCTAGGGAATGGTGGATGGCTGGCTGCCAGTGGCTTGCTGGCTCATGTTTTGGGGCTGCTGGGTCAGGGGCAGTGACTGCTGGCTCTGGGCTGGCAGGCTTGGAGCTGGTACAGGCACTGTGGCCAGAGTCTACCCCTTTTAGGGGGCCCGGGGGGTGTATTAATAGGAGTGTTCTTGGTTGAGGCTGGAGTGGCTGGAGGCCCCCTATTTCTAAATAAGTGTCTACATAGCACTTATTTCAAAATAACTATTTCGAATTTGGAGTTATTCCTCGTAGAATGGGGTTTACCAAATTCGAAATAAGCACTCCGCTATTTTGAATTAATTTGGAAATAGCGGTTTGGCTGTGTAGATGGTTGGAAAATTATTTTGAAATAACTTTGCTGTGTAGACATACATTTAGTGAAATAGTTTTTCCTAATATCCAACCTAGACACCCCTTCCCCCCCACACTGTAACTTATGACCATTGCTCCTTGTTCTGCCATCTGTCACCACTGAGAACAGTCTTGTTCCATCTTTTCTGGAACCTCTCTTCAGGAAGTTGAAGTTAAAGTCCATGTTGCAGTGTGCCTCTATCACTACCCGGTGTAATCAGTTTCCTGGAAAGTTTGTGTGGTCTCTTGGTCACAATCACACACCAGGGTTGTTACTCTTTCACCATGTATTTATTCATTCATTACAAAGTATTGACTAGTTCTGTGGCACCTTAGAGACTAACAAAATATATATCTAGTATCATGAGCTTTTGTGGGTAAACCCCACTTCCTCAGGCCTTATCTAATTGGGTGGTGTTTACCCACAAATGCTCGTGATATTGTATATATGTTAGTCAAGACTACTCATTTTTAAAGTTACAGACTAACACAGTTATGTCTCCAAGACTTTATACAAAGTATTTCACTGTAATGCAGCCTTACAGCAAGGGGAGATTTCCCCACAGCCTTCACTCCTCAGCCCAGACTCACTCTTGGAGCTCTCTCTTGCTTCCTGTTCTCTCCTCTTATCTCTTCCCAGTTACACTGTTAGCCCAGTGATTATCACCCTGATGCACATTATGCCCCAGCGGAAAGATTAACTGGCTCCAGGTGGACCTGCAGCTGTCTTGAGTCTGCAGCAGTGTCAGTGATCAGGGTGCTGTGGATAGTGCCCTATGCCAGCTCTGTTTATCAATGGCAGGGACAATGAATGTTGCCAGGTGGACAATTACTGAAGAAGCAAACCCGAGCAGGCTGGCAAACTATAGGAAGCTACCACAACACAAGCAAGTAAGCAATCTGAGACCATTACATTTCAATGATCTCCGTGTGCATTCTCAGTAAAATAATTTAGGCAGCCTCTACACCTTGCAAAATAGAATAGCCTTATATCAGTCCTGGTAACATACAGCATTGTGGTTGGAAAATCAGAGAACAGTATCTACCAAATGCCACCAGTGACCTACATTGCTTTTATAAGAAGATGTAGCCATCAGTATCATTTGTCCATATTTTGATTTTAGAGTTTTCACTCTTAAAATATCTGTTTTAAATGTTTTTGATTCTTTGTGCAAGTTTAATTTTTCCCACACTTGTAGTTAGCATTCCTTTTGTGTATCAGAGTCAAAGAAGCTCATTGGGAGGGATGGTATTAAGGCTGATCCAGCACCATTTGTTAAAGTTCACAAAGTGCCCATGCACTGGCAGCATTGCTGTGCTAATGAAAGCTTTGGTTACACTGATTTTTAGAAGAGGGAGAGAATTTTGATACTTTCTTGAGAAACAGTCTTTCTACTTCCTCTTCCTAGTTCTTTTAACAAGCCCCAGACTGACTTTTCAAAAGGAAAAAAAAGCCATTGCTAATAAACATAACATACAGATATAAAATCTACTGACATTAACATGGCAAATGGTAAATGATATACTAAGTAAATGTATCTTTTTAGATGTGGCCATGCAAGGTAGGTACAAAGGCCAAAATTTTGAATCCTGGGTATCTCAAATGAAGTATTTAAATGAACAGTTAGATTTTCAGGAGGGCTAAACATTGAGAGCTTCCACTGATTTTCGTAGCAGATTTGTCAGAATATGGACTGAGAGAAGTGGTGTTAGACCTTCTAGATTTGGACAAAAGACAAATAGAAATATAAAGCTACCTTCCCCCAACACCATCCTATTATACATCAACCAATTGGGGTTTTGCAACTGGTTCTTTTGGAACATAGACAATTGTTATAAGCAGATGTCCAAGGATGCCAAAGTGTTAGACAAAATGATTCTCCTGACTCTGGAGTGAGCAGATTGAAATGAATTTACTAAATTGAAAGAAAATGCAATTAGGTTGGTTTGGCTGGGACATGGAGTGAATGAAAAGTAAATGCTTGAGAATAAGCAGTCACAGATGCCTAAGAGGCCTTAAATCTGTTAACTTCTGATTCATTTCCTGGGAAACTTCCAGCTTTCTGATCACTGATACATTAAGCTTTCTTCAGAGATAATAATCAAGAAAAGATACAACCATAGGCAACAATTAAAATAAATCACATTGTTCAGAATGGCTTCCTGTTCTCATCATGCGCCCAGTGCATGGCACCCTGCACAGAAATCCTGTGACTATGCAGCACCACCTTATCTTGGCTTGGGATAGATTCACCCCAGCTTATCTGCCTACTGCTCAAGTAAAGCAAGGCCTAGGCGGTCCCAATCTCTCTTCCATCAGGTTGTAGGGGCAGCCTGTGCAGTCCTCAATGAGAATGGTGAGATGGGGCATACCCTGGGGCTATGTCTAGACTACATCCCGGTTGGCAGAGGGATGCAAATGAAGCCGGGATTTAAATATCCCGTGCTTCATTTGCGTAATCACGTAATAGAGCTTTTTTGAAAGAGCATCATTTTGAAATTGAAACCACAATTTAGATGCGGTTCTTTCAAAAATAGAAGCCTTTTTCGAAAGATCCTATAAACCTCATTTTTGGATGTTTACAGGATCTTTCAAAAAAGCACCCCATTTTCAAAAGAACTGCGTCTAGACTGCAATTTCAATTTCAAAATAGCACTTTTTCGAAAGAGGACCATTACGTGATTATTTAAATGAAGTGCGGGATATTTAAATTCTGGCTTCATTTGCACTTTTGAAGTGCTTCATTTATATCTCTCTGCCGACAGAGGGATGTAGTCTAGACTCACCCTGAGTGTCTAAGGGACGTTCTAACTCATTGTATACCTGTTCAGCCCTTTTGCCTGTGTGGTTACTTTGTGAAGACCTGGTTGAAACTGAAGGAATTGTGGAATACCCAAAAGAGCAACAGTTCAAACAATGACTCTGCCCTGGCCAGCATGAATTCCTCAGGGGCACAATATGCCAGGATGGGCATAGGGAGATGTAATTTGAATCTCTGTGCATCAGCAGGGCTGAAGTTGGCCCTACGTATCTAGCAAATTAAGTTTCTTGTTAGACAAGGTTTGTTTCTGTCACATATTGCATCTGACTCATTCCTGGAAATAACCTTAAAAAGATAAAAAACTAGCCTGTCATCCACCAGAGTGATGGTGAGCATCATCTTTGCCTGCTGTTCTGTGTCTGAACCCAAAAGAGACACAGAATAATCAGCTGTGACACAGAAAGCCTTCTCTACAGAGTGAGGGGTGGGACAGGATAAGCTCCATAGAACAAAGAAGAAAACAGGAAAAAAGCATTAGCCAAGGAAACTAGAACAAACAGATGGAGGGAAAAAATAGGCAGGAAAAAGAAAGCAGCTTAAGAACAGGAAAAAATACTCCTAGGTTTATAAGTGAATTAAATGCCTTTAAAATTTCTCTTGACAACACACATTGTAGGCAGACATGTGATCATTACATAGTTTTCCTTGATATTAAAATCATAAGCAAATGACAACACTATAGAAGTACACATCGCAATCTAAGCATAGATTCTTAATTTTCTCTTTCTGTTAAGATCAGCAAGTTCCCACAAATATCAATCACATTGAAATAATAGGAAAATTCCATCCAGCAAGTTGGAACTACTCTTTTGATCACTAGCATCTTTTTTAACTCATATGGTATTTTTTTTCTCCCTGATTTGTTTTCTGCAACTTTTTAAACAAGAAGAATAATTCATAACTTTGATATAATTTCCACAATTGTTATATAATCTGCTAAAATTCATGAAATTTTTAGGATTTGCAAAAAATTTAATTAATGCGTCGCAGCTGTCTGAATTCTCTAACAGCCCAATCTAAATCATGTAGCAAAATGAGAGAACTCCCACTGAATTTTTTGGGCTTAAAATTGGGCTCCTAGTGATTAAATAGATCTGTGTTGACACTGCTTTGTTGCTAAAAGTCCGTGTGTGTGAATGCCATTTGTCAGCCCTTTTGGAGACAAAATCCTTCCAGTCCTTGGGGGGGGAGGGGGGGATGTTTTGTCAGCAGCAGACTGCTCCAGCTGAAAAAGCATTTGTACTTTAATTTGCCATGGCAAACCTTTGTCATTCATGGGGTGGGGCTTAAGCACCCATGAATGATGAACAGTTTTTGTTGATCAAGTGCAAGTCTAGACATATCCTCAGACTTAAGTCTCTCTGAGGCAGAGAATGTGTATCTGTCTATTGACTGCAAAACATCATGTGCCTTTATGACACTGTCCAAATGCTTTGTAGTAATAATAATGGACAAATCCCGGTGCATTCCCGCTCACTGTTAAAAATGTGACATTGCTTTTGCTTTTATTTAGCACAACAATGGAGAGTGCATGTTAAAACTGCCAGAGATTCACCAACACCACAGAAGTGTAGAAGAACCCTTGTGATTTATGGCTCAAAGGGCAAAAGTGGCAGCCTTCTCCTTTCTCCACCAAGCCCAGGATATGTGTGCTTTCTACCCAGAGCGACGGATGAATTCCTTGTAAGTCATCAAATGCAATACTGCACTGAAATGATAATGACATTCTGCTTTAGCTAAAGGATATATTTGAAATGCTACTCTGGTTGCTATAAATATAGTTATTTACCAAGAAGGAATGATATAACTTCAGATCTTGAGACATTTTCTTCTTGCAACCCTGCTCAACAATCTTTAGTTATTGTGTTCACAACCCATTGTAATGCCATCATATTCCAGTGGGTTTCAATAATGTAAATCATCAAGGAATGAGAGTCCTTTCTTGTACTTTACAGCATGTGCTGCTTATTGCCTTGTTTTTTTAAAAAGTTCTCTTAATCATGTTAACTCTGAAATCCTGGGTAATTTGCCATTGTCTGTAATGTGTAAAGTATCATGCTCTAATGCTCTGCTATGCTGGTCACAAGCCAGTAGACCATGGTCACAAGCCAGTAGACCATGGTCACAAGCCAGTAGACCATGGTTCCTTTCATAGTCAATCACTGTGTTTGGTCACTAAATGTCCAGCAGTACAGCCGGGCTATGGTAGGCTTCCTGCCTACCCAGACCCCATGCTACTCCCGGACCAGCACCTCCCTGTGGCCCCTGAGGGTTGTTAGGAGGCAAGGGGTCTCTGTGTGCTGCTCCTGCCTGCAGGCATTGTCTCCACACAGTGGGGTACAGCAGGGCACAGGTTATCCAACAAGTTCTTGGACTTCATTAGAGTCAAATTTTTATTTCAGAAGGTAGAGAAAGCTACTGGGGGGTGTGGAACTGGTTCTAGAATTGATTTTAACAAATAGGGAGGAACTGGTTGAGAATTTGAAAGAGGAAGGCAGCTAGGGTGAAAGCAATCATGAAATAGCAGAGTTCGTGAGTCTAAGGCTGGTGCGGAACCTCAGGCCTGGGAGCCAGATGTGGCCGTCGGCTTGCCTGGATCCAGCCCCAGAGGCTCAGGACCCACCCCCAGCATTGGGAAGCCCATGTTGGCACTCCAGCTCCTGCTCCACTTCCCCCTGGGGGCTGGAGCACACAAAATCTATTAGGCTGGGCACCCCAAGCTCTGGAGTGCAAGGTGGGGAGTATCTTGCTCCTTCTCAGACAGGGGCCACAATGAGGGTTTTTTCCCGCTTCTCACTTGTGTGCAGCTCTCAACTGATTTTTCTGTGGGTCCCAACTCCCCAAAAGGGTTCCCCACTTCTGGTCTAAGGCATGGTAGGAAGGATTTATAGAGGGCAGACTTTAGCAAACTCAGAGAGCTGGTAGGTAAGGTCTAAGAGGAAGCAAGTCTAAGAGGAAAAACAATTGAAGACAGTTGGCAGTTTTTCTGTTTACAGAGTTCACATTTCGGCAGTTTTTCTGAGACATTATTAAAAGCACAAGAGCAAATTATCTCACTCTGTAAGAAAGATGGGGAGTATGGTGAAAGATCACCCTGGCTCAACCAGGAGATCTTCAATCATCTAAAAATGAAAAAGAATCCTACAAAAAGTGGAAATTATATTCATCAAATTAAAAAGGATGAATATAAACAAATAGAACAAGTATGTAGGGGCAAAACTGGTAAGGCCAAGGCACAAAACGAGTTCAAACTAGCTAGAGACATAGAGGGTAGCAAGAAAATATTCTACCAACACATTAGAAGCAAGAGGAAGACCAAGAATAGGTAGGCCAGGTTCTCAATGAGGGGGAGGGAGGGATATAAAATGTGGTACTTACTGACTTCTTTGTTTCATTTTTCACCAAGAAGGTTGGTGGTGATTTGACAGCTAACACAGTGAATACCAGTGAAAATAAGATTGAATCAGAGGCTAAAATAGGAAAAGTACAAATTAAAAAATGACTCTAGACAAATTAGATGATTTCAAGCCAACAGTGACTGATGAAATGCATTCTAGAATACTCAAGGAGCTGACAGAGGAGATATTTGAACCATTAGCAATTATCTTTTCAAGGGCACAGAAGAAGGGAAAAATACCAGAAGACTGGAAAAGGGAAAATATAGTGCCCATCTATAAAAAGGGAAATAAGAACAGCCCAGGGAATTACAGACCAGTTTTCGACACAGGAAGGTTGGCAGGGGCTGCTCTTTTGTTGACTGAATCTAGTATTCCCATCCTTATTGAATACCGGCTTCGACAGGAAAGTGCTCGGAGGCTGATTTATCACATCTAAGAAGGTCCACCATGTGGTGAATCTGGAAGCCTTTAGACCTTCCATGAGTGCAGGGGACTGGACTTGATGATTTTTCAAGGTCCCTTTCAGGCTTATGATTTTATGTTCTTGTGTCCTGCAGTACTGAGGTCTGTCTTAGGCTGTGCCATTCTTAGTGTTAGACTGTGCCACTGAGATACAGCCAGTAGCCAAGACAGAGGGGAAAGGAAGGCAGTGCACCCCAGTACACTGCTCAGGCAAGGGTACTCCACTGCAGGAGGAGGCCTGGTACATTGGCCAGGCAGCAAGCCAGCATGGTGGCCTCACTCTCAGCCTTTCCCACATCCCCTCAGTTCCATATACTGACCCCCCCATCCCTCTCCTGGCTTCTGCAACTCTCACACCCAACCCCCTGCCCTGAGCCCCCTGCACTCCATCCTGCATTTACATTTCTTACAAGTACTGCTGTATCGAAACCCCTCTGCCCTGAGTGCCCCCTCAGGAAGGGGTTGCAAGATGACAGTACCTGCAAGAAATGTAAGTTACTTTCGCCTCTGCCGGAGGAAGGTAGGATGATGAAAAGAGACTTCTTGAAGCATCTGGGGTGGGGGAAGCAGGTTCATACCAAACTTGAAACTCTTCTGTGGCCTTAGGTCTAGGAAATGATTGGAGTCTCAAAGGAGAAAAAGTCCTGTCCCCTCCCCCCGGAACGCATCCATCTCCAAGGAGGATATTATCTAGCTATGAAAATACTCAGAAAAGCCTCAGACATTCACAGGTGTTACTGCTTGCTATTTGGAATTCATATCTTGCTCTCTCTAATTTTATGGGATCTAGTATTTTAAGTGTGTGTGTTTAGGGAGGCAGGGCTGGGAATTTAGTGTGAGATACAATATCTGTCCCCGTCCCTTCCTTCAGATCGTTGAGGACGGAGAGGTTTGGACTGTATGTCCAAGGGACATGAATGGGGCTTTGCTTCTTCTCTGGTCTTCATTAAAGTGGCTTCCACTTTTCCACAGTGAGCACATTTCAGTATGGTGCCACACTGACAGCTTTCTGAGTGCATTTCCATTCTTCTGATTGGCTTAGTTTTAGGGAGACATGGTATATTTTCCCTTTGGCTGTTCATGTCCTTGGTTCTGTTGCTGTGTGTCAAAACTTTAATATTTTCTGAAAGTGTTTTTGCTGTTCATGAAGGTTTTTCTTTTTGCAATATGAGTCACTGTATTTTACAAGCATTGTTGCATTTTAAGTAAATCAGAGGAGCAAGCCTAATTTTAAAAAGTGGTTGGTGTTTCATGGCAATTTTTGAAAACCATTCTCTTTAGAACAATTCAACTGATATAGTTTCTGTTGTTCTTTTCCTTTCCTACTTATTTCTAAGAACATTTGAATAAACACAGGATCTTTGTTTTATAAGTGAGTTCATCTTGCTCTCATTTGTGGCAGCACAGTTGTTTACTGTGAGAATGATTATGATGCCACAATGAACAGAGAGCTTTGAATTCTGATGAACACTTAGCAGAAGATGAACTCTTAATAGAACAAAAATTATGGATTTACACAATGTCTTCAGTAATTCAGTGCAGTGAGGAAGAACTATAGGTAATGTAGCACATGCAAGATTAATTGTTTTGACACAATGGGCTTAATGTTGACCTCAGAAATCTATGTAAATCTGCATATTGCTCATTTACATGCACACTTATGTGCACATCCTGGCAAGAGCGTGTGTAGCTTCCTGATTTTCCAGGTGCACCCACAGAAGTTTGCCACAAATGCATGCATACCTAGAAGCTGATAATCATGTCCAAACATGATCTCTGACAATAACTGATCCCAGTACTCTTTATAGCAGGCTTTATAGTTCAAGACTGTTATCTGGTCCCCTCTCAGTTGTTTTTTTTTCTTTCTCAAGACTTAAATATGTCCAGATTTTTAACATTTGCTCCTACGTTTTTAAAACCTTTTATCATTTTTGTTCCTCTCCTCTGGACTTTCCTTATTAGGTCCATATCTTTCCTAAAGTGGGCTGTCCAGAATTGGACATGTTACTCCAGCTGAAGCCAAGTAGAAGGGAATAAATATTTCCTATTTCTTACATATGCCACTCCTGTGAATAAACCCCAGGATTTATGTGGTGATGCCCTCTGACACAGCTGGGAGAGTTGGGGGAAAGAGCATGAGAGGAAAACAACAACAAACACACATACTAAGGAAAACGAAAGTGTGAGATTTAAAGGGGTAGTTTAAAACTGTAATTTTATTTTAACATGACTAAAAATAATTAGTTCAGAGAAACAAAAAATGGTAGGCCAGCTGATTAAGTGTTTCTCCTTCTGCCAACTCAAGGGGTACGTCTAAACTACATGGCTCCATTGACGGAGCCATGTAGATTTGTTTGTTTGGCAAAGTCAAATGAAGCCGCGATTTAAATGATCGCGGCTTCATTTAAATTTACATGGCTGCCGCGCTGAGCCGACAAACAGCTGATCAGCTGTTTGTCCACTCAGCACGCTAGTCTGGACGCTCCCCTGCCGACATCAAAGCCCTTTGTCGGCAGCCCAGGTAAACCTCATCCCACGAGGAATAATGGGGCTGCCGACAAAGGGTTTTGATGTCGACAGGGGAGCGTCCAGACCAGCGCGCTGAGAGGACAAACTGCTGAGCAGCTGTCTGTTGGCTCAGCGCGGCAGCCATATAAATTTAAATGAAGCCGCGATCATTTAAATCGCGGCTTCATTTGACTTTGCCAAACAAACAAAGATCCTAGCACTTAGTCACAAGGTTTATTTTTATATATCTTAGGGACACCATGAGCAAGACTATGCAAAGGCCAAAACGACAGTGGCATTTAAAAAAAAACTAGT